GGGACCCACGCTGGAGCCGTCTGCTCCTGAGGGACTGCACCCTGTGGGAAGGAGGGACCCAGGCTGGGGCAGCTGGTGAGGAACTGCAGCCCATGGGAAGGGCCCAGGCTGGAGCAGTGCGTGGGGGACTGTCTGCCGTGGGAGGGGCCCCGGGCTGGAGCAGGGGCAGAGGGTGAGGAGTCCTCCCTGGGGAGGAAGGGTGGCAGGGACAGCGTGGGATGCACGGACCCCAAACCCCATTCCCCATCCCCCCTGAGCCACTGGTGGGGAGGAGGTAGAGAAATTGGAAGTGAAGTTCAGCCCAGGAAGAAGGGAGGGGTGAGGGGAAGGTGTTTTAATATTTGTTCTTATTTCTTGGTATCCTGCTCTGATTTGATTGGTAATAAACTAATTTCCCCAAGTCAAGTCTGTTTTGCCCGTGACACTATCTGGTGAGCCATCTCTCCCTGTCCTTATCCCAACCCAGGAGCCTTTCTATTTTCTCTCTCCTGTCCAGCTGAGGAGGGGAGTGATGGAGTAGCTTTGGTGGGCACCTGGCATCCAGCCAGGGTCAACCACCGCACAGGCTCTGGCCTTTACAGCCTGAAATCCATGCCTTTTTTTTAATTGTTTAACCTGAGCTTCCCATCATCCCCACATACAAGCATGGACATAGCTGTACGTGTTTTGAAATCGATACAGTGTGTGAAGAGTCAGGAAGACAGGAGCAGTTCAGGGATGTCTTCGTGTGCCGACAGCAGTCTTGTCGCTTTACCCACGCTTCAGGCCATACTTAACATATGCCAGCATTTCACTTTGAAATCATTTCATTGCCTTAAGACAAAGCTGAAGCAAGCTAAAATACGTTCTCCTGAAAGGGTGGACTGTACTAGTGCAGGCTTCCACGTGCCAGCTCTCTCACAAGAGTGATGGTCCTGTGGGGGATTGAATAGCAACTGTGCCACTGAAAATAAAACAAAGCAAATGTGTTTATCATAGCAGACTTCAAGGTGTGTCTTGAACATAGTGTCTTGGGTTTTGGTAGGTCTCCTGTCGAGATCAAATTCTGACATGATATCCATGTCTTTTCCCCACAAAGTGATTTAATTGAGAAGTTAGGCCCAGAAGTTAGACTGCTCTTTGCTTGTCATCCTTTGCATACACTTACATTTTCTCTTTGTATGGGACACAGTTGCATGTAAGGCTTTGACACTTGGAAAAAAAGTGTTTCAAAAACAAAAAAAGCAAAGGTATGCTTGTGAGGTGTGGTATGTTCAAGTATTTCTCTGTGGTATTTAGTAGGGTATCCTCCGGACACGGGCTATGAAAAATAAGTCCCCACTGGTCTCTTGCATCCATGGGTGTGTACGACTTTTACTATAGGAAAGTTTGTCATGTGGTTGAAGTACTGGGCTGAGATTGAAGATAACCATGCTCAGTCTCCAACATTGTCACAGACTTTGCGGGACCTTAAATTGCCTCCCTTGCCCCTGAACAGCAGGGCAGGTACACTGTGCAGCGTTGCCTCAGGACCGGGTCATCTGGAGCAGGGAGACTAGCATGTTCCTTTTAGCTCACAAAACATAGGTCCTGGGTGGGGTGTATGTTCCCAGACTCAGCATTAAGTTAGGGTCAAGTCTATACTTGGCTTTGGGGGCTAGGAAGCACTGCTGACTGCCACATATTCTTAATCTCTCTTCCCTGCATATAAATCAATAGTAACAATACTTTTTTAAAAAAAAAATCTTGCGTAGTTTTAAAAATAATTCAATGTATTTTTAAGATACTGAAAGCAGCAGCATTTTTTTGGTGGGGGTAGGGTGAGATGGAAAAGTAAGGAAGGGCAGAGGAGAAAAGGGGGATAAGCCTAGCCCTGCTACAATTATTTTTTTTTCCAGTTATTTCAGCAAGAGGTACTGCAGTGCTTAGATGTAATGCCTACTGACATAGTACATGTCAGAAATCCATTATGTGGCTTTAAACATGCAGACCCACTATTCTTTGGCTCAACCACCACTATAATATTGCTATAATATCGCTGTGCCTGCCTATGTCCTTTGTTGAGAAAGTAAACTTGTCAGAGCTCAGTCCAGAAATGTTTCTTTTCCACAGTAAAAGGCAGTGGGTTCCTATGCAAAAGTACTTAAAGACTTTCAAGTGCTTTTGCGGTTTAAAATGACTAATGCTTCTTGACCTAAAATTAAACAAAAATGAAAAGGTCGATGTCTTTCCTTCATTGCTTTACTCATTCAGACCAACTTCGCATCTAGGAGAAACTCACTTTAATTCATAGTGAACCTTTCAGGGACTGAAGCTCTTTTCTGAACCACCAGAGTTACTGGAACATGTCCTTTAAGGGTGGGGTTTTTTGCTTTGTTTGATAAGGTCAGAATGTGGAAGGGAGGCCTCTTAAAGCCTGTCTTGTGAATAGGTACTGGGTATTTATTCAATAACAGAACATTTATCACTTGCGAAAACAGGTACTGCTGCTGAAGGGTTGTCTTCTATCTGTTTGCTGTCCGTAGGTAAGTGAATTATTAATTATAAAGTGACAACAAAACATTTTTAAAGCATATATTATTCAGTGATAGAACCAGAAAGCACATTTTAAATTTTAATGAACATCTATAATAAGAATAGAGTCTATTTCATCTTACCTATATGGGTGACATCCATTTCAACTATGCAAGTTAGTTGCTTTTGGGTTCTGAACATTCTGTCTTGACAAGATCTATACAATGTGTTGATGCAGGTTTTAGAGATGGCATGTAATGTTTCAAAGAGTTATGTGTTACTGGATAGTTTATAAAATGTTGCCTAATATAGAGACTTGGTTAAGTGAAAAACTTAACTAATCTAGCTGTCCACTCCTGCAGGAGAATGGAATAGTCTGGCTTGGATTGATTTCCTTCATTAAAAAGAGTTGTTGGACTTGTTAGGGACAGGAGAGGAACATTACCTTGAAGAGATGAATCTTGAACATCTCAAGTTTCTGTCTGACCTAAACACAATTTAATTGTTTGTTACTAAAGTAGCAACATGTGACATCTAAACTCAAGGAAAGGACAAGAGAAAGTAGCTTTATAGCAACTACTTAACCCAGGTGGTGTCTGGCTTGGCTTGGAAATTCCAAAAGAACCTGTTCCTAAATGCCCACAAGGATGAGACTCTCCTGAAAGAGGCATAAAATATCCC